TAAAATTCAAAAAATATTTAAATTTAAAATTATCATATTTTTATGAGTGTAAATTCTTATAAATATGAGATTTATAATTTTTTTTTCTTTTATTTGAGATTTTAATATAATTCTTTTACTTAATTATATAAAATTTATGTTTCATAGTTTTTTTTTAATTTAATTTTTTGCCTCAAACTTTGAATGATAACATTATTATTATGTTAATTTTATTAAATTTTAATAATATTTATTATTTACTACGTCATCCGGTTCGACCCCGGTTAGACCGATTGAACCGGTCGAACCGTGAACCTCTCCTTCTTCCGGTTCGTTGTCCGGTCCGATTTTCATAGCCTTGGTTACAAGGTCCTTAGAAGGAACCTCCAGCTCGCTAATGCTCAAAAGATCTACAAGAGAAAGCCAAAAAAAAAAAATCTAAGAGCCGGTGGTTTCTTAATCTAAGATTTACAAAAAAAATTATAAGTACAGTTTAGGGTTGCAAGAAAATAGCACCCAAAAAAGGAAGCATAAAGTATTATCATTCAGCACTAACTTCCTGCAAAAAGAGAAGGAAACCTTCCAAAAATTAGCGGTCTCGAACACCCTGCATAAAATAAAAATCCAAGTTTGCAGGCATCAAATCTGCAGAAAGAAAAACTCCAACACCAAAGAATCATTTTGCAATTATACTAGAAAGAGTTAAAATTTAAGCATTTGATATTAAAAAAGGCAGAGTAGAGTCAAGGTCATTCATTAGATTAGCCACAGCAGCCACAATATGCAAAAGACAAAACATATAGAGGGCAAACATATTAATCAGTAAAGTCCATGCCATGATTAATCATATCCTGGGTTGGAGCATCATTATTAACAAAAATAAGGAAATGGATCTTCCCAATCTCATTATACCTCATAGTCACGTAGGCACCAACCAAAACCCGAAGAAAAACCAGCCCATGCATTAAATTAAGGTAAATAGTAATAAAAAAAATATCACCCAAATTGATCACAGACCCACAAACTCCCCAATAACCCGGAGCAGAGCAAGCTCCAAGGCCTAGTTGCCCACATTGATAACAAAAACCATAACCAAAGTATACCTAAACACATAATCCATCCATCCAACATTCGTAAATAAAAAGTCCTACCTCATCAAAGTCAAAATACAGAACCTCCAGAAATCCTCAAAGCCTTACGGCAATAGGCATCTCTAGAAATACAAGCATAATAACCCACCAAAATAGAAAGAACCGAAACCTAGGCAGAACCAGGGACACAAACCAACAAAAAGCAAAGGAAAGAACATAACAGCATGAAGAGAATACACTTCTAAGCCTTATAGCAATAGGCAGCTCCAAAAATCCAACGATAAAAACCCACCAAAACAGAAAGAACATAAAACTGGGCAAGTCCAGGGACAAAACCCAACAAAATATAAAGGAAAGAATAGAAAAAGGTACTAAGACATTGCGAATATAAGGTAAATTGCATTTATCCAGCTTAACCAAACCTCTTTAAAGAGAAGAAATGGAGAAGAAAAGTGGTGCAAGTTCCTCCTTCCAGAGAGTGGTATCTAGACCCGAAAATGATGGGTGGAGAGTTATGTGAATCTGGAGATATCGCCTATACAAGACAATAAAGACCTCTTTAGAGAGAAGAAATGGAGAAGAAAAGTGGTGCAAGTTCCTCCTTCCATAGAGCAGTATCTAGACCCGAAAATGATGGGTGGAGAGTTATGTGAGTTTAAGGGAAAGAGTTAGGGGAATTTAGCACCTTAGTAAATCTATGCCTATTAAAATATTATATGCATCATATAAAAAAGGTTATTAAATGTATATTGATATTTATATGTATCAAATAAATACAACTTAACTTAATAAATATTTAAAAATATATAAATTTTTTGTGACTGTTTAAACCGCCACAATGCTAGTACTGTAGTAGCAGTTTAAATCACCAAAATTATGATTCAATGGTGGTTGTTTGAACAGACACTATTACGGATCTATAGTGGAGGTTTAAATTGCCACTATTCTAGACATAAAAAGGCTATTTAACTGCCGCAATTATATCAGAATTATGGTGGTTTAAACCACCGCTAAAAAACTTTTGAAATTATTCAACATCGATTGCAAACCTGCTGTGAAGACCCTTGCAGTGACCACTAACACAAAGGTCGTGTAGCGGTTTTGAAATCACTACAATACTTTTTATGTTAGTTAAAACCACCGAAAAAGTCCTTTTAATGTGATGTGAAAATGTATTTTCTTGTAGTAAAAGATATTAAAACCAACTATCATTTTATTCGAGAAAATTTACAAGTCTTCTTACCCATTTATATCTACATATGACCCACCGACTTTTTAGCTAAACCATATGATCATGATACATAATATCAACTGCCTCACAAGTTGAGTGTTCTTAATATTTCAATCCCAATTTCTATATTTTATTGTAGATAACTTATTTACTATAATAGAGTTATTAGTATCCTACATATTAACTTCTAGTCCCTATTTTTGTGGATATATGAAATTTGTAAATATTTATAGATGCCTAAAACATGAAATATGAGCTTAATCCCATATCAAATAACCGAAAAATAAAATGATTTAGAAATATCAAATGATTGGCCCTCAAGCGCAAAGTTAAACTTTTGGGTTAATATTATTTTATTTAATTGGATGCTTAGCTCATCTTTGACCCCCTATAATTCGCTCCATAAGAATTTATAATATACATATTTTATACTCTTTGGATAAATTTTTTTATTTCTTTAATCTTGATTCCACCATAGGAGAAAATTGTGAGTAAAGTTGATGAGCTGATGGTAGATCACATGAATAAGTATAAAAAAAAATTTATTATCAAAATATTCTGATAAAAAAATGATCATAATATGCTTTAAAGATTTTGGATTTAGTTTGAGATTTGTGTAATATATAAATTATTTGTTACACTCATCTCAAAGCATAGAATATATATATATATTCTCAATCGAGAAATGATTAGGATTATATTTAAATCTCTTATATTTACTTTGAGATTAGTGAAACAAATAAATTATTTATATCATAATTATGTCAAAGCATATCTTATCATAAGCAAAAAATTTCTTAGGAAATTAATCAGACAAAAAAAATTTTCATAAAAAAATTTATATTTTACTAATATTGAAGTAAATCAAATAGCATTGAAATCCATCCTTAAATAATTTTAGACAGTTTTTTTTTTAACAAAAAAATGGAACTCCCATGATCCCATCAACAAATCCATCTCCTGTTCTGGCAACGCCGATCAGCCTCTATTACAGCGAAACATTCCGAACACCACAAACTTCACAATCCCCACCATCCCGCCGCCGGCGGCGGCCGGCGGCACCAAACCGGACCGGCACAACGGGCAGCTGAACCGTCCGAGATCAATCCACCGGTCAATACAACCCGCATGGAACGCGTGGCTACAGTTCCCCAGCTCCCGAACTTGGTCCCTCGCCTCCAACAACTGAAGGCACACCACACACTCCGACGGCGACGGCGCCGCCCCTTTTCTCCTCACGAAGCTCATGAACTCCACCGCCGGCAGCCGGCTCTTCACCACCGCGGCCTCAGCCAAAACCGACTGTGCCGGCTCAGCTGAGAAGAGCAGCTCTTCGTTGTCCCATGCGCTCACCTCCGACTCAAACGAAGGGTTCAGTCCGAGCCGGTATAGAATGGCCGAAAAGCTGTAGAGAAAAATGTCGAGAAGCTGGAGAAGAGCGATGAGCGTCTTGGGAAGCATGTTGGGGGACATGTGAAAGCAGACGAAGCCCATGGCGAAGTAAATAGTGTGGAGTGCAGGGTAATCTGCTTTCCTTCTATGTATATATAGCAAGAGAGGGGAGATGAAGATGGGTATTTTATTTATTTATTTTATTGAATATTAATTAAAGTTTGTTAATAAGTTTCAAATTAGTTTATTTAACAATTAAGATAAATGTTAGGTTATTCAATAGTCAAATAACTTAAATGAATGATTTTATGAGATGAGTTTAATGCTTAACCTACATTGATTGTATTTTATCTATTTTGCGTTCATTTGGGCTTAATTTATGACTCTAATCATTTTGTGTGGAGTCCGAACGAGAACTTTCCGTCCAGACTGTGAGTGTATACAAATACGGTGTATTGTGTATACTCATAATCCGGATGAGAACTTCCCATCTGGACTCCGCATGGAATAATTTCTCTAATTTATGACTCTAATTTCATAATGTGTGCTAAAAAATTATTATAATAATTATACTAATGATAATAATATCAAAACATGATGATGATTGGTTTATTTGACTTCTAATTTGGCTATTATTTTCTTGTTGATTTTTTAAAACTTTCTAATGAAATTTTATTTTTATTTTTTTGCAACAGGATATACTAATGTGTAGTAAACCAAAACCAGAACTATTACTATTTTCTCATTGCTTTCTCACTACTTTAGTTTTTTAACTACAACCACACTTATATTTGACAAGTACTTTTTCATTCTTTTCTCGCTAATTTTCAAAAATTTTACGATGAAAAGCTGCTTTTTGCAAACCAAATCTACTAATGTGTGATAACTATAAGGAAACTATTGCCCGATTTTTCAAAAAACAGAATTATAACATTCACATCAACTTTTAAGTAGATTAATTTAGATAATAGCATTAGGTGTTGCTTGGGACGGATTTTTTACTGCTTTTTAAAGCAGCTTTTTCTAGTATAAAAACTTAAGTTAAAAAAATTTACTTTAAGAATGAGTAAGAAAACTATCTCAAAAGAAGTCTTAGACTTTCTTTGGGACAACTTTCTTACTTCTTCTTAAATCAGCTTTCTAATATAAAAATTTTAATTTTTGTACTAAAATTCCGTTTTAAGAATTAATAAAAAAAATCATCCCAAACGAAACATTAGAGTCTTTCATGATGCAATTAGGAATAGAACCTAACTTTTAGTGTGGTGCAAGAACAGATTGATAGGATAACAAGAAATCTATAGTGAGTGGGTGGTAAATGCTTAGCTCAAGCAATTGCCCAATTTGGGCAGCACGCCAGCAGCAACTTTTTTATGCAAATACAACCACAGGATATTACCATATATAAGAAATAAAATCAAGCACCTGCTGCATTATATATATGTAGATGGACATGTCGGCACGAGTTTCTGTCTATATCTGCTCGTCTAACTATCTTTATATATATAAATTTTGGAAACCTTACTATATTTAGAAAGAATATTATGTTTGATAAACGTGACGAGAAGCAGCCTTCCCACAACTCAATTGGATAGGTCAAGCGTTTTAATAAAAGAACA